TTCTTCCTTTCCTAGGATTTTATGAGCCGCTTTATCTGACCAAAATCACTTCGCAAGAAAGCGCCATGCCTTTTATAATTGCTACCTTTGTTCCCTGTACCAAAGAATCTGTGTTCCTTAGATTTTACCTCCATTTCCTTTTTGCTGACTTATCAAGAAAATAAATGGTAGCTTACTTTTCCAGTGTCTACAATATAGCGTGGCCATGAGAAATTTAGTATCCCGTATATAGTAAATGTTTTGTTTTGTCTTGTTTTCATGGATAGGAATGAGTGTGCAACAAGCAGACACTTGTTTTCCTTTAACATGAGGAGACTAGAAAGTTTAGTAAGAGTCAGTATGAATACAAACTTTGCAAACTTTGCTGGCGAAACTACATTTAACAAACTTTAAAATAGTACAAATACAGTAGATTGCTCATCTTGTAAATGATGATATAATGATAATGAAATTGAGAGGACTTTCCCAACTTCCCAGGAAATTCAACTAGGAGAATGTTCCTTTCCAGGCTAAATATTTTCAGATTCATGTAAACTTATCCTGTAGATTTATTTTGTCTACAGTTGTAATGTTGTATTACAAAAAGTCAACACTCAGTACAGTTTTGTTGAAGGAACTGTGTTTTGTATCTCTACAACGTAGCTCATGAGTAGTCTTCAATTGCAGTTGGATTTTGTGCACATAAATGGTGATGTCCTATTTTTGTAAGCAAACATAAATCAGTCATCCCATCCATTTAAACCATATACATCTGAGAGTATGCTTGTGTGCCCAGGGAAAACTAGAAGTTCCCACAACTAACAACAGTGGTATGTTACATAATTATAGTAATGGCCCCCTGGTGAATCATGTCTATCTGTGCCCTTGTGTAAACCGCTCCTTCCCCCCAACTTCTACTTTGCAGGTAGACTCTTTTGGACATAACCTCAGATGACACCACAGCTGAGCTCATGACATGCTCTCTCTCCCTTTCTCTCATATTACACTCCCTTGAGGAATCTTAAAAAATTTGTTATCTTGGCCCTTTTATAACCTCTCCCTCTTTGATTCTGGATTCACCGTGCTTGATTAATAGTAAACAAATATGCAGTAAACAGACGCATATAAAGAGCTTGTGCTTTGGGACTTGCCCTCCTACTGTCCTGAGATCATCATTTAAGAAGCCCGGGCTAACCTAATAGAGGATGTGACCATAAGTAACATAGACTAGCTTTGAAAGTTGAGACTCCTACTCTTCAAACCATCCAGCCCTAGTCAAGCCACGGTATAACTGTAAGCACATAAATGACCCCAGGCACAACAAGCGTACGAACCACATACATATGTGTGTGTGTGTGTGTGTGTGTGTGTATAAAAGGAAATATATATACACAGATATATGTATATCTGTAACAGATAAGGATATTTATGCTGAAGAATAGAATTGGTTTGAATGCATTCATTTTTATTTAAGTATTTCAGACGCCTAACTTAACAAGCAAAACTTTCTCAAGACTTAAATTAACTGCTATTAATCTAACAAGTTAAACTTCAAACTATAGCAACTCCCAAGTTCTTATAAAAATTCCAATACTGTTTGAACA